TAGAAATAATTAGTTAAAATTCTTAAAAGCACAGTTTGTGGCTTGTTTCTCTTTGGAGTACTTAAAATTGAACTATGAAAATATTTTAAGTCAAGATCTATAATTACTAGAGAATGTAGACTATATATCCAGCGATCAAAAGCATAACACCAATCAAAGAGAGAACTTAAATATGAATTGGTTAACACTCTGTGCAAACTATAGGACTTGTCCTGGCATATATTGTTCCATTTACTAATCCAGTACATTAAGTACATAGCTTTCCTTTATATCCTATACTGCATTAAGAGTCATAGCCTCCTCTGATAATCATAAATATGAAGGATTATTTTACAGGCATGCTTCAAAATTTGAGCATTTATAAAGTAAAGTAGAGTTAGTGGAGCTTCTCCAGACACCTTGATCCAAAATTATCTCTGCTCCTCCATTGCAAGTTGTCTAATCCAAGCATCTTTAACACTAAGTTTGTGAGGGATCCAAAGAAAATGTACCCTTTTAGCAAAATACACACATATTATTTTGAAGCACTTCCCCAATAATACACTCTCTAAATCTCACATCCAAGTTAAGATCTAAATATTGGGTATGTAAAAGGATATTAATTACTTGATATACTTTGAGGAGATTGCTAATTGTCAATCATTGTAATTCGAATTTTTTATTCATCTATAGAGTTAGATTAAACTTTCATTTGAGATTAGTAATCAGGTTTAGCGACTACGTTTATTGATCTAAATCTATATATTCCATTGCTTGCTCTGACCTTAGTCTGCCCAGTAATCTACAATTAAATATCTTCTGAAAACAAACTAGCCTCACTGTCATTTTCAATAACAACCAGTTGATCATTTTAATCATAAATACCAACTAATAAATCTGATAAAAAGTCTTAACCACTAACTAGGTTTTACAAGTCTAAATTATTATAGTCATTGATTATTTTTAGTCTATAGGCATATGAAGCATAATTTTAGCCATATTAAGCATAGTTTGAGATAAAAATATTGCTAACTAAACTAGGAGGCATGAAAAGATTTGAATTGATAGCTCCACCTTAAATTAGTGCTTAATTATATTGAAAAGTGTTATTTTACAATTAGTATTTACACTCTATATTATAATTATATAATTTAAAGCTAATTTTACTTTTATCAGAATCAGGAGTACAATAGTAGTTTATAGCACCAGCATCAGTTAGAGCATAATTTCCATCAAATATTGAATCCTTAATATCAGAATCTATATCACTTAGATAAATTGCCCCTGATTTTTCGCTTATTGCTTAATTGTGAAGAAATATTGAATTTTAAATAGATATTTTTAGATCAGAAGTTACGATTTTAGAGCCCGATGCACTTAAGCACGGACTACCCCTACTTATTAAACTACTAAAAACCGTATTATGTATATCTAAAATAGTATTTTAACTTTAAATTCCAATAGCATATATAATGCTATTTTCAGAATCTTTTATTGTTGAATCGTTTATGAATAGTTTTGAAGTTTCAAGTTTTAATAATGTCATTTGAATTTTAAGCGTATTCATCCTAACCACTGAAAGAGTTGTAGAAGTTGCAGAAATAATATCATTTATCTTTTTGTTGATAGATGTTCGAATATTTACTATTAAGGTATCGCTTAAATTGTGAGATCCAGACATGAATTTAATCATTGGATAATTGCTAAAATCATTTGTCAAGTTGTTCAATTTAAGACTCTCATGACCAGAAACTGATGATTTTAGAAACAGTAGCGGTCCATCCGAGTTATAATAAGTTAAATTTATTGTCTACATAACAGAGTCTGACTGCAATGAAATTAGAGGTATTATTGTCTTTATATTCATGATCTTAAAGTTGAGCAGTGAGAGTTATGATTAATCAAGTTGAATTGCATTTTCAGTTATATTAAATGTGTTCTAGTAACTAAGATCATTGAGGTTAATGAGTGAACCTGATTAACCTAGAAGTAGTTAAGGCTATTCATTTATAACGAGCCCCTTGCTAGTTTAAAATGTTGCTTTGACTATTTAAATTTTATAATTTTATTTGTTCTCTATCTTCTTTAACAACTATTGATATTCCTCCTTATCTCTGAATAATTCATCTAAAAAGTCAGAGGATAAAATTTTATCAAGATTTTGATAGGACTATGTTTTATTGGAAAAGTAGAAATCTTGATATTTAAATGTAGTAAATTGAAAACCGTTTTTTTCTATCAGACCACCTTCTATCAAGAGCTGATTTTAGTTATTAAAGAGATAAAACAATCCAGCCATTAATGCTGAATTGTACCTGAATGTAATATTTGTCATTACAGCTATCCCATCACTAACTGATTAAAGGACTCCTCCAATTACTGCAAAGTTATTTATTATCAGTGAATCGTAAACTTTTAGGAGTGAATCTCTTTCAACATAAAATACTCCTCCATATTTTGCATAATTTCCATCTATGATTGAATTATTAATAGTGCAATATGAGTATTTCTGTTCTCCAAATAGAATTGATCCTCTCCCAAACCCATAGTTCTTGAGGAATAGAGAATTCTATATGGATAGATTTGAATTCGATATCTAATGGAAAATTCCAAACTAAAACACCTTATTTTGAATAAATTGGCAATCCAGTATTGAGATAACTTAAGGATTAGTGAAGTCTAATTAATTAGTAGGCTTGAGTTCCATAAAACTCCCATTATTTTGAATAAACTGAATGTTCCTAAACATGCAATCTTTGGAGGAATGCTCTAAGCTGAATAATGATCCACTTTCAACCTAATTATCTTGAAATAGTCCATTTTCTATTTTTATTAACAGATTTCTATATGAAATGCTTAGAAAAGTAACGACTGATTAAGTTTGTCTAACTTTATTATTTACTATAGTTAGATTGTTTATAAATAATTGAAGTTGGTTTCCCATTCCATTATCAATGACTGCCCCAAGATTCAAAAACTAAGTAGTTGAATTAATTTGAGAAACATTTACTAAGCTAAAACTGTTAGTTACACCCAATTTATAAATAGGACTTAAGAGTGCAATATCTAATAGGTAGCAATCTAAGCTAAAAATTCGATTTATAACATTTAAACTTTCAAGGTTTGATATAATTATATTTTCAGGTTTTGATATTTATATCAAACTGTTTCTATCAATCTGTGAATTTTTAAATTATATCTAATCTACTATTATGTTTTAACTATCTATTATGTTAATGCCGTTCGAATTATAAAAATCTATGTTTTAAAAGTTTATAGATTTCATATCTATCTTACTCGTTCTTTAGATTGTAATAAAAGAATTTTGAGTTGAAGATCCTACTAATTTTCCAACATTTAGAAACTATATATTTTCTACTTTAGCATTTATAGATTAAAGAAAAATTCCACTTGAAATAGCCCCACCTTGAATGCTATTGTTTTACATCACAATATCTTCTGCCTAAATCCATATCATTCTCTATTCAATAGCTTTATTTGAACAATTTTTAAAGGTATTGTTTTCGAAAAGAACTCTCTAGTTTAAAGTAGTTTCCTAGGAAATATAGAGTAAGCCAGATTAGGCAAAGGTATTGTTAATAAATATATTTCCTCTGAATATGATCTCTTAGTAATAATTTGGCATGTATAAAAACTACAAATAGAATCCTATATAAGACAAGTCTTGAGAAGTGAAAATAAAGCTATTATTCTCATAAAGCCAAGTTACTGAGTGATTGAAACTGCAAGGATAGTAGTACTATTCATGCATAAATACTTTTTAAGGATACTTCCAGATAACATCAATCAGTCTATTGTTAGTGAACTAAACATTCCATCTTTGTAAAGTGTAAAATATTGCGTTAGGATTTGCTGCGGTTTTCTTCTCAATAGTGTTGTTATTTATTATTAAGTTTCCTTGAATTTCCTTGTATTTATAAACCTCACAGTCTAATGAACTAACTATGAATAAAGACAAGACATTAATCGAGACATCCCAATAAGAATTAATTATCATTAGATTCGTCCCAGATTATGTGAATAAAATATGGAAGGATAGTTTAAAATGGCACTCATCAAATATAAGCCACTTGTAAGGTGACCAATATGAATAAAAAAATCCTCCTATTGCGCTGAATGTTTTAATTTTTCCATCCATTAAATTTATATTTTTAAGGAAAGCACCTGAATTAATCAATTGTATTTTGTACATTATTTGAGTTAAGAAAATAGCATCTAACTACCCTTTTTCGACTAAAGGTGCCAGATGATAATCTTTAATAGAACCATCTTCATTAAGAGTTGGATTAAAGATAACTTAAGGTCTAAAATATGGCATTTCATGGCATATAATTATTGGATAGGATAGATTTAAGGAATTTCAATCATCTTGATCATTATATGAACTATAGAATGTTAAAGATTTATAGAATACAGTATTTTGATATTAAGGTTGATGATTAAAACTGGATGATCTTTAAAGAAAATTGTTGAAGTAGTATTTCTCTTAAGATAAACAGTAACATTTAAATGGGAGCTTAGATCAGCATTATTTACTAGCTCTCGAAACGGATCATCAAACGACTTAAATGGATACTTTCTTGTCCCTAACTCGATTAAAGTATCCGCCTTCGAATCAATATAATAAATTGGATCTAAGAAAGCTTTCAATCTAGGTAAAATTACCTCTACAGTATTTATATACTGAGTCCTTAAAGTGTTTATTGTTAATGACTATAGGTATAGTAGAAATTGAGCATTTTTCAAGGCATGACATTGAGCTTAAATCTTTGTAGAAATTTTCATTTTCGCACTAGACACATTCCTATGAAGTTGGCCCCACACAAAACGAATAATTACAACTCGAATGACAAACTAAAATTTTAGTGGGAATTATTTACCTTAGCAAATTTGCTGATTGATATCATAATAAAATCCTAATTCACATTGATGTGCAGAGAACAACGCCACCATAAACGCAAAAATAAAAAAGCTAAAATTCATCATTAAAATTAAATTAATAATAGATGGCCTTTTAATATTTGAATCAGCCTATTACCAAATACTAATTAAACTAGATATAAGCCTATAAAATAAAATGATTGACAGAATAATTTGAACTTAATTTATTATTTTTACTATTAATTTAACTACTATCTATCCTAACGGGGTTTTGGGGTTTTGGGGTTTTGGGG